TATTACAAGATAAAAAAAAAGAAGTTAATACTCAAATGTGGTCACTTGGAGGACACATTAACTTTGACCTTAAGAATAATCATTCCTCTGTTGAGCGAGTGGCCCTTCTTCCTCCTCCTCCTCCTCCTCACCCCATACCAGCAGAAACACCTGCTCATTTTCGCAGCAGTCTTATCACCAAACTCAGGATTGAGGCCCAAATGAACCTAAAATGATAACAAACGTGAGCTGGTTCAGGGAGTAGAGTCATGGGGAAGAATCAGGTTAGGGCGGGGGGGTATAATCATTTTTGTCGTTAAGCACTGCTGTGCTCTGCCGGGACTCAAACATGGGCGCCCCAAAGCCTAGTGCTTTTCTCCATACACCAGGTCACATTGCTGGGGATTTTGTCACTCACTCTGCCATTTTTTCTGATTAATGCAACTCTATTTGTGGCGTTTGACGTTTTGGCTTTCAAAAGAATGATTTGTGGGGGTGACGATTAGTCATTGGCTGCTTCTCTTGGCCTAATACAGGACACCAGCTTCATGATATTTATAAATGACCTGGTTTGGAAGAACGAAAAAAAAAAAAAAACTTCTACTGTCTGTTTAAATTAAAACTTTGTTGGGCAAAAAACAAAGCTAAAAAAAAAAATCTAAACTCTGAAATGTGCTTCCGAACACAAGCCTGACTTAATTAAGAGAGTCTTCATCACTGTGAGAACAACAGGAGCTATTCTAGGTGATTCCGTGCCTATTCCCAGGTGCATGCAGAGCCAGTTTGGCTCAAGGCGAACAGATGCCAAGACAGAACTGCACCAAAGGATGACTGCCAGAGAGGCACGGGTATTGAAGTCGGCTTCAAACCTCACCTGTAGAACTCGCGAAAAAAGGACATTGATTGTTGTCCAGCAGAGCGAGGTTTACAGACAGAAGCCCAGCTAATGTTTATGTAGCCGTCGTTTCAAACAGATAAACTCATCGCCTGCCTGTGTGTCTGTTCTCCCCCCGTGTTATCAAGAAAACATGATTCCCTCCATTCATTAAGGCTCCACAGAAGGAGATTCAATTAATCTGTTCATTAGGCCAGATCAAAAATGAAAATACTTGTTAAAATCAGTTCCAGCTGTGTACTCTCGTTAAAACATGCCGGAGCGTAGAAATGCTCGTGGCACTATACCAAAACCCGGCTATGAGAAAAAAAAGGTGGGGGGATGAGGGGGGGGCTTTTACTTTGGCCTGTTTTGAGTCAACGTATCATGATAATTGCTCTACTCTTAGCGGGGGCCTATGAATAAACATTTTGTCAGGGAGCGTCTGAATGCTGCATTCCCAATTAATTTACATTTGCCCAGAAATGGAGTGAATATCTGCTCTTAATCACTGTGTTTTATTTTCTCAATTTCCCCCCAGTCTTTTCTCATTCTCTCATTCCCCGTCTGACACTTTCATTCCCCCTCTCACTCGCGCTCTCTTTCTTTTTCCAACTCTTTCTCGGGAAAATCCCATTAATCTCAGCCAGCGGTTTTGAACAAAAGCTATGGGCTAAGCGATTGATCCGGGCATTGATCCCACTCGCCTGAACGATCATAAAGGTGTTAAATTGGTTTCTGGGAGGATATGTATTTTTCATCGCTCGCTGCTTCTGGTAGAGGTTCCTTTATTTTATTTCTTAAAGCAAAACATGGGTGATGATGTTAAAACATGGAACACATCAGATCTAGAAATAAAAGCTCTAAATACACAGCTGCAAATTGCTGCAAATATTTTTTTCTTTCTTAAAGCTGTTTCAGCTCATCATTGAATCTAAAAAAGAACTTTATATAAAAGAATGACTGGAAATAACTACACATTTGGTATCATCACAAACTGTACTGTGTCAGTGTTAGGGTTGTCAAATGGTTTAACATTTCTTATTATTAATCACAGTGTCTTAATCATTGGGTTGAATAAACATTCCTAAATGTTAGCTGGGTGTTGATGCAGTATTTAAAACTAAAACATTTTTCTGCCACGTGTTTAAATAACGACATTTATTGATTCTGTATTAGCACAACGATAAGTGGATGGAAAGTGGAATACTTGGATATAGATGCATTAAAATGTCTTAATAAAAATAATAATAAAAAAAATTTAAAATATAAAAATTATAGAATGATAATGCCACACTAAATAATTTGCCATTTTGATTAACTTGACTTCAATATTTAATCTTAACATAACTCTTAACTCTCTAGCTTTATCTTTTTTTATATTAACTTTTCACAACATTTGTGAGATATCTAATGAAAGGCAGACAGATGTTTGTGTTTTTTTACTCCAGTGTTTACCCTCGCTGCCTTTTTATCAATGTATTGTCATAGTCTGTCTGAACATTCAGCAAGTCCCTGCATTGTCTTCTCCCAGAGACAGTGTTGAGGATTTTCCTGTTTTCAAACACATCGATCATCAGCTCCATGTCAGAAAGTTAGAACTATCAGACGGAGCAGAGAGTACATCTGGTCAGATCAGGCGCCATGAATGGCGCTCATTTGACACAGCAAAGGAAAAGCTTGTCATGGAAACAGCTCGTGTCACTGGCACTTAAAAGGTCAGCCAGCTGAACCCCGGCCCAAACCTCAGCCTAACGCCTGTCGGTTTGTCATCAGTTCCCGCTTCTTCCAGACACGTGTCCCGTGCCCTGGTCTGGGCTGATTATTTTACTCCTCATTCCCTCTGAACCCTGTCAGAGTGAAGCTTCCAGGCAGGCAGACTAAGGACAGCCCTTTGATGAGGACCCCGACACTTGCCAGCTTCACTGACATGTGAAGGGTTCGTTTGAAGAGACTGGGCCTCACACGTATTATTCCCTCAAAGACACAGAGACAGAACCACGCTTACATATGCTTCCAGAGTTCTTGGATGGTGAACAGCAGTGATCAGTCTTCCTTTGACCAACTTTGTTGGTTTGTGGAGAAGACAAGATGGCATTTTAATGAAGGTATTTGAATTTGACTTTCGGTCATATGCCACTAACGGGACGAAAAGATGTAGATGAATACGCAGGGCAGAGACAAAGTGGGGGATCGGGGGTGAGGAGGGGGGCGGAGCAGAGGCTGATAAGATCTGTGTGTGATCCTAGATGTTGTTGTTAAAAGTTCAACTTTTGATTCCTTAAATACAGTCACAGTTATACATAACGTATAGGGTTAAATAGATGTGATAAAGTGCATGAAAGGTAAAGCAATACTTATATCTAAAGCATGTAAAAAGGGAGGTTCCGTGGTGTAGCGGTTAGCATAGCTGTCTCAGAAGCAGAGAGCAGATTGTCCTGGGTTTAATTAACACAACAATCTTCCAAGTATGGAATCAATGAAGTTCAAAATATGATCATTGTTATTAAATGAGAGATCGTTCAGCAGTAAATGTTGGCCCAAGATGTTTATGACCAGTATCAGTGTGTGTCCCACTTTCCTTTTTGTCAGGTCAGGGTTAAACCGTGCTACTGTATTGTGATGACTATCCACAAGGTGAACCCACACTGTTTACATCCCGTCGTTCCGTCACTAGTCACAACAAACATGTTCAACAAGCACAAGATTTGGCTACAGTGAGCGCCAGTGACGTAGATGCGTGACACTTGTTGACGAAGCTGCGCTTCTCCTAACTGCTACATCAAATCAACAAGTCTGTGAGGTCAAGGCGAATTTTCAACAAATGCTCCACTGTACGACTTCCAGACAGCACACAAATAAATTCCTGTCTGCCACATCCGCACTGCACCTGCCTTTGTGTCACAAAGTTATACCATTGATTCACATTCTTCTCCCAAAGTTGTGTTTGACATTGGTGATGAACATCGCCGCGGTTCTCACAGACTCACGGCAACAAAGTAATTCACAGTTCCACAAAGCCTCAGTGTACTCGCAGAGACACATTATTCCCAAAGATACCACGAAGAGTGTTTGCTGATAGCGAAAAAAAAAAAGAGCGGGGGAAGTGAGGAGAGAGAAAGAAGCTCTCATACATTTTCCTCATTCTTTCCTTCTTGATGTGGCCATTTTTTGTCTGTGAGTGTAGCTGTTTAGGGTAATGATTAACACAGGCAGGCATGGGAAGAGGAGCAGCTACAATAGAGGGGGTTGTTTTTTTTTTCTCCCCCTCTACAGACCCAACTCTTCACCTGCAACTTCCCATGCTCACCTAGCAGGGCCCTGTGGCCCCCGTGTTGTAGGGGTGGGGGTGGTGTCTTAATCATCACTCACAAACTGCTGCCAACAGACAGAGAGATAAAACTGGGGACTTCATAAGATCAGGCACGTAACAAAGTGCTTAAGTGAGTGTGGAAAAGTTCACGTGAGAAAACTTTGAAGTGGATACAAGGGACTTTTGAGCTTTGTGAATTACAAAAAAAAAAAAAAAAGAAAAATCACACACACACTGCTCATGCTGCACAGATGATCAATAGCGATTGACCTGTGTGTGAGCTGCACACAGCTGCCTGTGATTTTCTCCAGCTCTGGAGAAAAACGCACACTGCAAAGGTTTTTTTGTTTTATTTTAAAAAGAACAGCACACTGGACCCTATTGTTAGTTGGCATAAAAACATGACAGTTGGGTGAAAACAATGCTCGAAATAAATCTGTAGGTAAAAAAAAAGATTGACATTAGTTAATTAAACAGCTTACAATATATATTTTTTATATTTTAATTATATATTTTTGTTTATAAATTGAATATTTATAAAATGTAATTGTTTAATTGTATGTATTGTATTTAATTGATGTAAAGTGTTGTAAAATAATTACATTTACTGATTGTATTTAAATTGATATTTTACGTTTTAAATTAACAAGAAAAGCATGTGTTTAGATCCTAATGTTAAGATTAAAACAAAAAAAGTATATTTCACCACAAAGATAGAGCAAATTATTTGACAGTGACTGAATTGTTGACAGACAGTGGCACATAATCATTTCTTTCTCCTAAATAAAGGAAAAAGCCCAAAAGCTGACGTGTTTGTTTCCTTTCATTAAACAGGTGGATGACCAGATGAAGCTGCTGCAGAACTGCTGGAGTGAACTCCTCATCCTCGACCACGTTTTCCGGCAGGTGGTGCACGCCAAGGAAGGCTCCATCCTGTTGGTCACAGGCCAGCAGGTGAGTTGGAAAAATAAAATCTTCTCTCCCCTTCTCTCCCCTTCTCTCCCCTTCTCTCTCTCTCTCTCTCATGGTCTAAAACACTGTCAACGGTGCATCATTTACTCCTTTGGGGAACAACTGTGAAACGTGTCAACATTTCCCTTAAAGCGTTATTGATTTGTCAGCCACACAGGAGTCACCTCTTCATTAAAAATAGATTATGATTATGGATTAAAACTAATGTCACCAGCAAAATTAATTTAGCATGTTTTTCTTTTTTTTTTTTCACTCTAAGCAAAAATAATGCAGGCAGAGTCGTACTCAGATGTGCAGGAGGCACATCAGTGAGTAGTGGGCAGAGAAAAAAAAAACAAATATGTGGACTGCTTTTGGTGAAGCTGATGCCTGAGGCCCACATCATGGCTCAAAATCCTAATCTATCAGCTGTGATTCTGTCTTCTGTTTTTGTTTCCAACACACATTCGTAATATTATGCAGTCCAGGAGCAGACAACAAAGACTCCTTTAGCAGCCCCTCTCTCTCTTTCACACACACTCACATACTGTACAGACAAGACAGTACATTTAAAAAATCAAAAGAGATCTCATCATTATTTACAGAGCAGAACGTACTCTAATAAGAAACGGTTCAGCCCTTCTTTTTATCCTTTAATCTGTGGTGTGGCTGTCACAGAGATGAGAAGTTGCAGATTATTGAGTTCTTAGTGTTTAGTCAGTGGAATTTAGACTGGTAGTTTTGCTGAAAATGTTCAGCAAATATAAAACGAGAAGCCCCTTGGATCAGATCGCCGTTTCCTCACATTTCTATTTTGCAGTAACCACTCTGTGAGACACATAAAGAAATATTACAATTAAAAATGTATTTTCCTGAAATTGTTTTCATTAGAATATAAAGAGCTAACTGTAAATATTTATCCCGTAAAGAAGGAAATAGACTGTAAACACAAGAAGAAGACACATCTTGCTGTGCTTTATCTTTATTTTACTCTAAAGGGGATTGTAATCTGTAAAATGCTGTAAAAGTTCTTTACATTCACAGGCTAATACATAAGAATTAGCCTCATTGTCTCAAAGACTAGAGAAAAATAAAAGAGAAAAAGAGAGACAGAAGTGAAGGGAGGTAAAGTATGAAGAGGAGACAGAGAGAGAAGAGGAGGAGAGAGGAGGTGGGAAAAAGAAGAAGTGGAGTTACGGAGGGATCAGAGAGGAGATGATGAGAAGGAGAGGAGGAGGAGGAGGTGCAGGAGGAGGGGTTGATAGTCAGGGGAGGTGCAGGGCCTCAGTTTCGTTTGCATACGCTGGTTAATGAACAGCTGGTGGTAGGAGCGATGTTGTGCGCTGGTTAATGAACAGCTGGTGGTAGGGGCGATGTTGTGTGTGTGTGTTTTCAAGGGAATGACTCTGAAACAGTTCATTATCTCCTATTATTCTCTGTGTGGCCAGAGGTGACAGCACACTGATAATATCAGGGATATTTAAACCACAGCAGCAGCATCCCTCAAAGCCCAGGACGCAACATACACATGCACAAATACATGTGTTCACCCTATTATTATTTTTTTATAAAGAGTGTGATAAGTTGATTCGCACCACATTTTTACAATTTAGATGGTAAAACAATTATAATAATATTTTTCGTGGATGGTTTATTCATCACCAACAGCTTGTTCTTTTTCTTCTGTTCTATCTCCATCTTGTTGACAAATTCTTTACAAACGTCTGTCTCAAAAGTAAAAGTTCTGGCTTTTGTTTTCTGCGTAATTGCTTGTCACGGTGTACGTTAAATGGCTTTTCAGTTTCAGACTGAATAAAATAACTTTGTTCTGTGTTCTGGCAAAAGATCAAATCCAAAGTCAAACTTGGCAAATACATGCAGACATGAAATGACAATGACTGAAGTGTTGAATGTTTAAACAAGGTCTCTCGGTTTTCTTTTTCGCTGTTGTAGTTTTTATATATTGAAATGCTCCGGGTGTACATGAAATTTAAATGAAGGAAAAAAAAAAGAGCTCTTCCAAAAGTTCCCCCTTGTATGTGTTTTCAAATGCAGTCCTTAATCTGATCTTACTTTTTTAATAACTTAAGATAAGTCGTTATATTCATGACTGCTAAATATTTGACGGTTTGTTCTTATAATTATTTCCCAAGTCTCTGCAGGAGTGATAATAAAGTCATATTGATCGATTGATTGATTGACACACAGGTCACCAGGGTCAGTGCTAAGTCTGCTATCACAGTCACATTAAACAGCTTTTTTTCCTTCACTCTTTTTACTTAGGGCTAGAAGGCAATAACCCAAGGCATCACTATCAACAATCCAATCCCTCAATGAAGTTATTTCATGCACAGTTGATTTTATGTAAATTGATTGACACCTCAGAAGGGCAGAATGTGTGCTTTTCACAGTCATAACTCCTACTGACTTGGAAGTGGAAAGCGAGGAAAAAAAAAAGAGGAACAAAGGCATTAAAATAGAGAGGCAGAGTGGTTTATAGCAAAACAAAAACGAGAAGGTGGGGGGTGGAAGGAATAGGATGGGGGAAGAGGAGAAACATGAGGCGTTGTTGACACACTCTTCGTGCTAACAGACAATCGTTCTACTTATACGATGAATGAATTCTAAATCCAGGCTACTTTTAATTGTAAATGTGAGCTTGCACGAAACCCTCTTTCTCCCCGAGCTTTAGGAGCTGCACACGCCAACCACTCCCTTCCCCTGGAAACCCTCATGCAGTCAATTATGGTAATGAATTGTCAATAAATATAAAAATTTAATACGGTCCTGCTTACTTTGAGTGGCAGCTAAGGACTTGCCTCCCAGACAAATGTGCTGCGCCTGCAGAAATGAAGTGCACCTGGAAAAAAAAGGGTGTGAGCCAGTGTGTTTAAAGGATCCATCCATCCATCCATCTATTCAGCTATCTATCTTTCCACTTACATACCTATCAAGACTTTAAGAGGTTAAAAATATGGTAATCTAAACTAGTCCTGTGTGCTCACACATCTGTCTCATTATTCCAGGTGGACTATGGAGTAATAGCTTCACAGGCCGGAGCCACACTCAACAACCTGTTAAGCCATGCCCAGGAGCTGGTGGCCAAGTTACGCTCCCTGCAGCTGGACCAACGGGAGTTTGTTTGCCTCAAGTTCCTGGTCCTCTTCAGCCTGGGTGAGTGTTTTGGCTTCACTTATGGTCAAATGAAAGTTTATATTTGTTTGTGGTAAAATCAGTGAGCAATGTGATGTGATAGCAGTGTGAAAAATCTAACGGCAAATGGGGATAAAGAAATGGGGAAGTGACCACTCCCTGGAAAAAGCTAAAGCAAAGGTAGAGGCATGAAAGGAAGGAAGTAGAGGATGTACGATATTCGACCAATGAAAAGGTTTCCATGCAGCTCCTGAATTAAAGCTTGTTTCTATGCAACTCGTGGATCAATGATATTGGATGTATAAATCATGTGTGCAGGTGATAATCACAGAGATAGAATCATGACATGAGTAAATGAGCTAGAAAAAAAATGCAAGGAAGGACGTGAGAAGCTGTTGGATTGAGCTTTGTAAAGTCGGAGAGTGAGGGCAGTGGTTGGAGGTGTGAAGAGTTTGACTGAGGAAAGGGAAAGAATAAGTGATGGGATGGAGAAAACTGAAAGATGAAAACCTAGGAAGTGAAGGAATTGCTGGGAAAGGTGGGAGAGAGCTGAGCAAATGTGGGATAAGTAAAAGGAAAAGAAGCCAAGTCAAGATTGTATATTTGTGTGTGTGTGTGTGTGTGTGTGTGTGTGTGTGTGTTCTTAGCTCCCAGTTCTCATCAGTACTCTCTAAGTCGAGGTCAGACATTACCAGGAGACTGTCAACTCTGTCTTTTGACTAACAAGTCTGCTTCAAATGGCCTCAATGGGACGCACACACAGACACACACGGTCACGCTCGTACACACACACACACACACGCTCACCCTGTCACCCCGGTACTCTTGAGAGCCATACTGGCATACACACAATGAGATTTTTTTTTCCTTCTTCAGCTGTCTCCATTCATCTTTGATCCACAGAGTTCATGTTTTCGCCTCTTTAGTTGCTCGGCCTTTGTACAGAGGGGAAACGTCCACAAACACACGGAGTCAATCAGACAGGATTAACGTTCGTGTCAGTGTTGTTTGGCGGAGCTGCGCGGGAACACAGAGGGCTGCGTTGGGGCTTTAGAGTGGTTGTGGGTATTTGGTGTGTATGTGTGGGGCTTTTTTTATGGGGCTTGGGTGTTGTTTGGGGCTCAGGGCCTAAATAATTTGGCAGTAACATCATCCATAATGAAAGGCTCACCTGAGGGATATGTATCGCCCCCGGCACTGCCTGTTTTCTGACATTGCCCAGGCCTTTTGCACAAGAAGCTCAACACCGACGTCGTAGAGCGGGCGGAGGGGATCAGTCGGCGTTAGAGGAAATGGAGGTGCTGGTGGTGGTGCGCAGAGGATAAAGAATACATAGCAATGTAAAGCCTGGAGATTTAGAACTGATTTGATTAGCAGTGCACAGAGCTAAATGGAGCTGTGTGTGCGCATGCATGCATGCATGTGCGTGTTTGTCTGTAACGGGCGGTGAGAGGGTCGAGATAGATTCTTTCACCTGAGGGAATGTGCATAATGCGCGCGGCAGTGGGAAAGATGGTGTGGATTCACGGCATCAGTGTGCATGATTCAACAGCTGTCATGGCGTTTAATCACAGGCAAATAATGAGGATTTTAGTGAAATGAGACATGAAAGTGGACACGCACCGACTACCAAATGCAAACAACGCTCTCCCCTCGCTGCCCTATTGTCTAACGCTTTAACACTAAGAAATAGTCCTAACACAACGGTGCAGTTTAAAACTGATGCTGACTCTTTACTAGTTGTTTGTATGTTATGTACTTTTAAAGTATTTATACATATTATGGTACAGTATTTATATTAAACTAAAACTTTTTAAAAAATATATGGGTATTTGTATTAAACAAGGAACACAAACAAAGCCCTCCAATGACATGAGTGTGATGATAAAGGCAGTGGAGCAGAGTTTTAAACGTCTCCTTCCTCCAATCCTTATTGTCGTGCGTCCTCTCGGTGTTCCTTCTCTTATCTCTAAACCTTTTTTTTTCCCCAGTAGATTCTTTGTCACCTACTACCTGTCAGCCCGGCTCTTAGTTTAGTCGGTTGTCGATGAAGACAGGGATATAGATGTCGCTGCACCTTT